CCCTTCACCCCCCTAAATTTTCATTCCTCCGGATATAGACGGGTGTCTTCAACCCCCCGGAGAAACCGCATACTCATGTATTTTCCCCGAAATTCATTTTTTTTTAATTTATAAAAAATCTGCGCATGTTTCCGGGGGCGGCAAATTTTATAAAAATATAATCTTAAACCCCTCCACCTCAGCCCCCTAAATTTTTATCCCTCCGGATATATGCGGGTGTTTTCAACCCCCCGGAGAAACCGCATAATCATGTATTTTCCCCGAAATTAATGTTTTTTAATTTATAAAAAATCAGCGCATGTTTCCGGAGAGGTAAAATTCATAAAAATGTAATCTCAGACCCCTCCCCCTCACCTCCCTTCAATTTTCATTCCTCTGGATATATTGCGTCTATTTTTCACAGATAACAAAACCAAGCGTGTGAATAAATTAATTTACCTATTGAATTAATTAATTTTTCAGTTCGAAAATCAATGCATAAGCAGATAGTTGTTTAGAACATTATTTTCAATTGTTTTTTCAACATAATTTAAAATATATANTGATGCCCCTCTTCGCCCCTATTTGACCCGCAGCATTCTCCTCCTACATATCTATTTGCGATAACATTGTTCACGTAGGGCAATTGGGTCAGTACAGAATTAAACTAATTAAAAAAAATGCCAATATGAACCTATTGGATAATCAATTTTCTCCCGCCACTGCTGCCGACTTTATCGGCCTGGGCGAGAAGTCGACACTGCCGCCATCCGGCGGCGTTCCCCCTACTGATTTATTTTCCCTTTCAATACGCAAACTGTTATTTTCCTTAATTATTGGAAATTAATGTCATTAAAGCTACTAAAATTCATTAATAATTCATTGATTTACATCCATAATCGTTTCAGGTATCACTTACCCTTTTTTACACCAAAACAAGTAGCCACCTAACTTAAGTGGCTGCTTGCATCCCAGGGGAGTTGACATAATATGACATCTGCTGTCAGTATATGACGATGCAATTTCTGACAGAATCGGACATATTTTATCAAATTCTATGAAATTATGTAAAAATCTATCAATTTTCTAATTTTTTGACATAATTTCACATTTTATGTCATAATTCGTCAAAATCTGACGACCCGATTTCCACGAGGGATCTCGGATACTAAATACAACCAAGTCGATTCCTTTTATACAGACATATAAATATATATACCGTTTACTCAAAGATGTAACTTTTTGTGGACATCATTTTTGACTTTGGCGTTTTTTTAGTGTTGTCTTGTGAAAAATTTCAATGGATCTTATGATCGAACTCTCGAAAAAACGACTTATAATTGTTCGTGATTGAAAACATCTTTCTGTAGATCTACAGCAACATTATCAACATCAATATCATCAACATCATCAACCCAGTCAGTATCACCATCATCGTGCATGCGATTTCTCGTCCAGACATTCAGAAATAACCGTGTGACATCTCCTATTGATATAAGAATATTCCCACGCTCCAACTAAAATTTATCAACAATTGGAATAACCATTTTGACTGTAGAAATCATTTTCATATTGTTGAAAAACTCATTGCCCATATTGCTCGAAAAATTGATTGACAGAAAAAATGGTAGACTATCTTTTTCAAATTTCGTTTCCCAATGGAAACTTCGCTTTCGTCATAATTTTCGATTTGTGTGTCTATGTGTGTGATGTTATAAGCGTATCAATATCTCTGCAATGATAAGGGATATCGACTTAAAATTTTGTGTGGAAAATGCCTTTCCGAGCAATCCGCTCGATGCAAAAACCGTCAACCCCCCATCATCAGCACCAACATCCCCAACATCACCATCAGTGACACCAACATCATCTACATCATCAACATCATCAGCACCTTCAGTAACATCAACATCTGCAAAATCAATAACATCATCATCATAACAGCGGTTGCTCTTTCAAAATATTTGGGAATTAAAGTGTGACATGACCTTTTTATATAAGATAGATAGAGGAATATCGGAGTAAAAGATATAAAAAATTGAAGCTAATCGAGAGATCATGGGATGCAGTTGCGTCCCGTTGCCAATAAGACCGGGTACGCTATACTGTCATATTACACGCGAGTCCATTTTCCCCTCTACCACCCAAATATCTTTATTTATTTTTGTTTCCATTGTTTATCCCATCCCAGCACATTTTAGATTTCATAAATAGTTTCATCTATCATTCGAGTCCCTATTGTAATTTTCTCAAATTTTATAAACAATAGTTGACTGAGAAAATAATTTTTTCATGAATCAGCAGTTGGGATTTTCGTCGATTCATTTCTCTCAACCCTCTAAACGGAGAGTATAGTAGGAAAGTTGGTACCACTGCTACTGACTTCGTATGAGTTAGGGGGTTGGTTGTGTTGTCTAACGTCACGCCAATATTCAAAGATGATTGGTGAATTATAAACGCGTTTTTAATCCATCCTATGCTTGAATACCCGTGACTAGAATACTCTCCAAATGGAATCAAGTGGAACTCTTGTTATGATTTTTAATTCTCGATTTTTTGCTTGATATCCTTGTTTATAAACAAAGATGTTGGGATTTCGACTCGGTGACAACCGTTTCACTTTGCTTCAGGTTCCTCCACTATTTAGGAAAAATATGTATTGACAAGAACGTGGTGAATCACCACGAAAAAAAAATTAACAGAACACTCACTCAGGAAGAACGTTACTCTCTATATAATGAATTCCAGGATTAAAGATATGTCATCATCAAAATGTACGAAATCTCACGAAAATCAAAAATAAATTTTTGAAAAAAAACTCACCAAGAACATGTCCGAGCATTCTGTTTACAAAAAGTGGTAAAATCACGACAAGTGCCAAGCACTGAATACCTAGCGGTGCTGAATACAACTAAGGAAAGCTGATGAAAACATAGAAATTATGAAAATAAAATGATAAAAATCAGTTGATAAAAATTCCAAGTCAACCAAATCGGCGTGCGATTTAAGCTCCAAAAAAATCACACCCCAAATTGATTTGGAATTTTTATTAAGTCATTTTTATCATTTTATTGTCATAATTTCCATTTTTTCGCCGGTTCTCCTTAGTTGTCGTTAGAACCTCTATATATTTAGTGCTTCGCACTTTTCGCGATTTCACCACTTTTTACAAACAGAACGCTCGTACCCGTTCATGGCGAGTTTTTCCTGCGAAAATTGTTCAGAGAAGAATGAATAATTTTTCCCAATAACTCGAGTTTCTTTCAATCCATAATTACGATGATATTTGATCCTTGCTTGGGGCAATTGTCGTTCGATTGTCACACTCTTGAATCTTCCGATTTGTTTCAATCGTCTGTGTTTTTGTTCTACGTAATGTTGCGACCATGTCCTCGAGGGATTTCGTCTATTCTATCAATATTAGATTTCGCTACTAGGCCAAACTAACTACATCCAACTATTGACGTTTATCTTGTTTTCCTCAGGAAAAACTCTGGGAAGCTCTGAAAAACGGAACGCTAGACATGATTAACTCCGACCATTCTCCCTGCACCGTGGACCTGAAAACTCCTGACTTCTTGCAGGCCTGGGGAGGGATCTCTTCTTTACAATTTGGTTCGAAATTCAATTGTTTCCATCGAGTCAACCCGACAGTGTACAAACGAATAAGAGTCGTTAACCCTAGTTGGTCACCATATGTTACCCCCAGTTGGTCATGTCTGCAGTTAGTTGCCGCCGTGTTATTTCAACTCGAGCGTTGGAGATCGTACTTCTACACTGCCTAAGCGCGTTGAGCGAGTTTCCGGCCACGTCAATTTCATTCGACATAGGAAAAAATTGTTCATCTATTAGCAATAATCTGTTTCCTTTAGGGATTCCGGATATTGAATAATTTCCACAAACGCCATATTTTTCTAGAGATTTCAACCAACTGGTAACCAACCTGGGGGTAAATATCAGTGATCCAACAAACAAGATTCAGTAGTAACTCAAATATGGAAGGTCTGAATATTATATTAATTTTCAAACAATGAAGTTTCATTTCACTCCATTTAGAATTTGTTCTATGATAAATATTTAAATTACTTCGAACAGTTGTCGGTGTACCCTGTATCCAATTATGTCGTTTAAAATTTCATTCAATTGTACAATTCCACGATCGAATTTTTTAGGACTTCCAGTTGCCTGGACTGGAGCTAGGAAGAGAGGAGTTACACTGCAACAACTAGCCAAGTGGATTTCAACAAATCCAGCGAAATTAGCTGGATTGGAAAAGAGGAAAGGTGGTATCACTCCCGGAATGGATGCTGATTTCGTTATTTGGGATCCAGAGGAAATTATTACGGTAAAGAAATACTTCAAATCAACCGTGGGAAATTAACAAACGCTTTTAACTAGATTAAATTTGAGATTCATGATTTTTCATCCGTTCATCACACTGGAGTTTTATAACCAGGTGAAAAACCCTGGTGAAAAAACATCTTTAATTCCTATAAAAAAATAAAAGGCAATAGGAAAATAGGTGTGTTATTGTCCAAACGCCCATAATTTCCTATTACCTCTATCGAGTGATTGATCAGGCTGGTTTGAATAGGAAGTAAGGAGGTGAATCCATAAAAAACTATAATTTTTCTCGTCATAGAAGGCACATGGTGAGTAATAGGAATTAAAGCAAGAGGATTTTGATACTGACTTCTAAACTTAAGTTATTCTAGGAATAGGTATCAATGAAAATTATCATGAAAATCTTTCTCCAATTTACGCTGGTCGTCCCCGAGAATAATTAGCGGGAAATAAGTTGTCAATGGTTTTTAATGGAAATCCTCTGAAATGCCTATTAATGGATGGAAACTATTTAAAAGGTCAAAATAAGGGTGAAGAGGGTCAGAAGGGTCAAGAAGATCAAAATGAGGATCAACAGGGTCACACTAAGGGTCTGAGAAGTCGAAATAAGAGACAGGAAGGGTTAGGATACGGGTGAAAAAGCTTGGAATAAGAATCAGGAGGGTCGAAATAAGAGCAGGGTTACAATGAACCCTCCAACATGAGGTCCACATGAAGGTCTGGAGGGTATACGAGTAAGTATAATAATGGTCAGTATACGAGCGAAAACCGTCACAAGGGTCAAACTAAGGGTAAAGTGGATTAAAATGAGGGTCAAAATGAAGGTCAAGATGATTGAAATAAGGGTCAGAATGCAGGTGAAGAAAATCCTATATAAGCGTCCAAACGAGAATCAGGAGCGTCAAAATCAGCATGGGATCGTATGGGATCATATGAGTCATATGAGGGTCATATGGGGGTCATGTAGGGGTCACATGGACTCACATAGTGATCATGTATCGTTCATATGGAGATTATATGAGGGCCATATGTGGATCATATGGTTTTCACAATAGGGGTCAAGAAGGATCAGGAAAGAGGGTTTGGAGTGAGGGTCAGAAACATGTTTTCGACCCTCATTCCAAACCCTCTTTTCCTTTCTTTGGGGAGGGTCAAAATAAGAGTTAGAAGGGTTATAATGAAGGTCGAAATGAGGGTCAGGAGTGTCAAAATAATGGTCAGTATAAGAACGAAAAAGGTCATGAGGATCAAAATGAGGGTAAAACGCATCAAGATAAGGGTCAAAAAGAAGGGTCAAAATGATTGAATTAAGGGTCAAAATGAAGGCCAAGATAATCCAAAATAAAAGTCTAAATGAGGACCAGGAGCGTCAAAATCAGGGTGCGGACAGGTCAAATGAAGACTCAGGGAGGTTGAAAATAAGGGTCATCAAGAGTTAAAATAAGGTTATATAGAGAGTCAAATGAGGGCCATGAGTGTCATATGGTGATCATATGCGGATCATATGGGGCCACATGAGGGTCATGAGGGATTCTTTGTCAAGTTGGTCACTCAAATTTTTCGATGTCCCCGAAAATTCTGAAAATATTTAAGAGTGTTCTTGAGGTAGAAGAAAACTGTGGATTTCTTCCGAATTATCTGTCGTTTTATTCTCAGGACTAATCACGGGACACGGATTGGATTTGATTAAGGTTTTCGCTGGCATAACTTGACCAATTGAAATCAGAAAGAAAGACGTTTCGGATAAAAATTTATATTTTCTCATCATCTTTGCTTGAAAATTTTTAACTTTTTTTCCTAGTTTATTTAGACCCATTCAAATGCATTTAATCGAAAGAATAATGAAACTCTTTCTTTTCGAATTCGGATAGTTTAATTTCCCTTAAAAAAAATGAAAACATTCTATGTATGGAATAAAAATACCTCATAAATTTTTTGAAGTTGTAATATCGATCGGCTGAAAGAAAATGAATCATTAACCCTAAATGAGGAGTATAATGTTTTTTTTTCATTCAGCCCATTAACATTACCACTTTACAAAAAATATGAATTATTTTTATTCTATATGTTGAATGTTTTCGTATTATTTTAGGGGAAATAGAACTGTCCATGTTGGGAAAACACATTAATATTTCATAATTTTTTTGACTAAGGATATCCAAGTACTTTAGCTATTTCTTCTCCAGGGAAATGGTTTTCTACTTTTGTAGTCGCACATCAGATCTTTCATTTGAGCTCCATTTGAACCCATGTCTTCCTACATTTTACAATGATTTTATTATTTGAACGTTGCAGCCCTGAATTTGAATCTCGATACAAAACCGTTAGAAAACATTCAAAAAATCTGGAAAAAAAAGTAGAAAGTTTACTTCTGGAGGAAGATTGATGAAATAATTAAAAAATTAGAACTTTTGATAATTACGAGCATTTTTATAAATAATTTATAAAAAATCAAATTTCCACAATAAAAATCATTTATTCGGAGTCTTGACAATTGTGTTCATATTCAGAGTTTTACCAGAAACCGATTTCAGGCCTAAAAAAATTAGGTTTCCGAAAGTTTAAACAATTTCAATCATCCATTTATATACAACAAATGTTTAAAAAAATGATACTTCTGTGCAAAATGTAATTTTAATGACGCAGAATATTCATGATTTTTTTACGATTTTTCTCACGCAATTTAATTGACAAATTTGATGATTGAAAATAGTTGAATCTATAGTATGGTCTGTACCGAACTGTAAACGATACTTGGATTTTCTTAAATGCATTCGAATGGGTGTAAATAAAACGGAAAAAAGATTAGATTAGATTAAAGTTGCGGCCCGGTTAAGGTTACATTTCCAGCCCGGCTTTTACAGCCAGTCTTAATAATCCGAGACCTCCCTATTCGCGATTTGATCGGTTCAGGGGAATGCGGTCCCCCAACAACGTAATCTCGTCACGGCTAATGCCAGGCAGTCGTACAGATTGTGTAGGCTGTCCTCTCTTTCCCCTGGGCTCCTTCAGCCCCGAGGGTTCCCCGTTTCCTCTTCAAGCGGTGCCTCGCGGCTCCGCTGAACTTCGGTCTGGTCCTATTCGTCCCAGAACCGTCTTTGTCGACTTCCTGGTTCGTCAACACCTTAGGAAGTTGGTTATTGTTTTTTTGTATTTGTTTGTTGGTGTCCGTTTTTGATCCCACGAGTACCACGGCGAAGCGGTCTCACCCAGTCATAGTCGTGAATGCTGGGGCTTGGCTGATAACTCGGAGGTCGTCCGGTATCCGAGGGCACCGTGAACAACACAGCACCTCCTGCGCCACGCAACCTTTGGCACAGTAGCTAATACCTTGGCTTGGGGAGTTGGTCCGCGACGGGGCTTTAAGCTCACCGCCCGGTTTCCCGGTTGCATGTCAAGTATTACTCTCAAATTTTTTGAGAATTTTCGGAGACATCGAAAAATTTTAGTGGCCCACTTGACGAACAATCCCTCATATCCCTCGTGGAAATTCGTCGACAAATTCTGACAAATTTTGACAGAAAATGTCAAAAATTATCATAAAATGAGAAATTTCTCAAATTTTGTCATAAAATGACAGAATTTGACATAAAATGACAAATTTTGTCCGAACATATTTCGCCGGACAAATGTCATATTATGTCAAGTTGATAAAATGTCATAAAATGTCAGAATATGTCGAATAATGTCATAATCGGACATACTATGTCATATTTTGACAGATTCTGTCAGTGGTAATATATCATATTCTGTCATATTATGACATTTTCTGACAAACATCCGGGCTGGGAATATTCTCAGAAAATGTCCGAATATGTCAAATAATGTCATAATCGGACATATCATGTCATATTTTGACAGATTCTGTCAGTGGTAATATATCATATTCTGTCATATTATGACATTTTCTGACAAACATCCGGGCTGGGAATATTCTCAGAAAATGTCCGAATATGTCAAATAATGTCATAATCGGACATATCATGTCATATTTTGACAGATTCTGTCAGTGGTAATATATCATATTCTGTCATATTATGACATTTTCTGACAAACATCCGGGCTGGGAATATTCTCAGAAAATGTCCGAATATGTCAAATAATGTCATAATCGGACATATCATGTCATATTTTGACAGATTCTGTCAGTGGTAATATATCATATTCTGTCATATTATGACATTTTCTGACAAACATCCGGGCTGGGAATATTCTCAGAAAATGTCCGAATATGTCAAATAATGTCATAATCGGACATATCATGTCATATTTTGACAGATTCTGTCAGTGGTAATATATCATATTCTGTCATATTATGACATTTTCTGACAAACATCCGGGCTGGGAATATTCTCAGAAAATGTCAGAATATGTCAAATAATGTCATAATCGCACATATTATGTTGAAATCTGACATAATTTCTCATTAAATTTCATAAAGGGTCAGGAAATGATAAAATATGACATATTCTGTCACATTCAAGTGACAAAATCCCAAAAATTGTCAAAAACGGAGAAATTAGGACAGATTCTGTTAAAATCGAGTGTAAAAAATGTCAAAATCTGTCATAAATGGAGAAATTATGACAGATTCGGACAAAATATGATAAAAAATGACATTCTACTTTCTTATTTGCCTGAATAATCTGTCAGAATTTGTCATATCATGTAAGAAAAAGTCATAATCTGACATATTATGGCGAAAAATGACATAATCTGACATGTTATGACAAAAAATGACATTAAATGTAAAAAAAGGGACAGCGAACGGTCTAAGCAGTTGACATATTATGACAAATTCTGTCAAAATTTGTCAGAATCTGAGATATTTATCTGAGAAATTATGACATATTCGGACCAATTTGTTCCAAATCGCAGTCATTTTATGTCATTTTCTGACATCTTATTACAGATTCTGACATATTATCACAGATTCTGACATAATATGACATTTTCTGATATATTTTCTACGAAATTTTTTTTCAGAATATGACAAAATTT